GGTCTTATTTCTGAATAAGGCCTTAAAGATTTTTTACAGAGACCCATGTTTAGCAAACTTTGGTATTCTTGTTTTCTTAAGCCGTATTGAGTTTTCTGAAGTTCATCAGTCTACTGAATCATCCTGTTGGTGTTTTAAAACTCACTTATTGGTAAGATTAGCAGAAAGATTTTCCCAGACTGTTAATAGAATGTCTAATTCTGGAAAGCAGGCGTGATGTACCATTCAGGTAAATAAGAGTATATCTGTATCTTCACCTGTTTTGAATTTTTATTTATAATGAGAATGTTTCACTTTTCTATAAAGGAATTAATCAAGTTGATGTGAATCTCACTTATTTAAGGATAATAAGTTGAAGAAGTTTCTGGGAGTATGGGTACGGCTAGAGGGGAAAGCCCAGAACTGTGAGGCCATACAGAGTGGTTTTCTCCAAAACAGAAGAGTTAGTTCTAGAAGTAGCTGAACAGGGCAGGGGGTTGTGCATGGGGCTGGAGCTGGTGAGGAAAAGTTTCTAGGAAGCCTGTCAAGGGACAGCTTGTCAGGGTAGGTGGCTTATGCTGTTGTTTTAAAAAGCTTTCAGTTCAAAGGTGTTGGTGATTAGATGAGTTGTATCCGTTTAGGCTGCTGAGTGTGTGGGCCGTCTGCACTGGTTTTGTTTGTGATCAAGTCGCTGAGACCACGAAGGTCAGCGGATGATGTTAGAACTTGGTGCCAATCAAAGCTTTTGTTTAAATGCTTTGTTGAACAAGTAATATTTAGGGATTTTTCCCCTAATGACTTGAATGAAGGAAAAGCACTCTGGAACATATAGAAACAAAGAATACTGGACCAGAGATGGTGAAACAGTTGTGTGTTTCGAAGGCTAAGATAGATTCAGCATTATAAGGGGTATAATGTGATGCACATAATTTTTCAGAATTTCTAATTCTGAAGAAATTGGGGATAGAATACTATTCCTTGATTCATTCTTACCAGTTGGAATCAAAAGATTTTATTTCAGAACATTCGTACAGCTTTATTTTCTGTAAATTTAAGCAGGTCACAGTGTTCATGGAAATAATTTCTGTTTTACTTTTTTTTTTTTTTTAAAGATTTTATTTATTTATTTGTCAGACAGAGATCACAAGTAGGCAGAGAAGCAGGCGGGGGGTGGGGAAGCAGGCTCCCCGCTGAGCAGAGAGCCCGATGCAGGCTCGATCCCAGGACCCTGGGACCATGACCTGAGCTGAAGGCAGAGGCTTTAACCCACTGAGCCACCCAGGCGCCCCCTGTTTTACTTTTAATACATAAATGTATTACAATTACAAAAGATTCATATGATTCTGAAATAGGTAATTTTTTTTTATAATTTTATTTTTTATAAACATATATATATATATATTTTTCCCCCAGGGGTACAGGTCTGTGAATCTCCATGTTTACAAACTTCACAGCACTCACCATAGCACATACCCTACCCAATGTCCATAACCCCCCCCCAACCCCCCTCTGCCCAGCAACCCTCAGTTTGTTTTGTGAGATTAAGAGTCACTTATGGTTTGTCTCCCTCCCAATCCCAACTTGTTTCATTTACTCTTCTCCTACCACATTAACCCCCCATGTTGCATCTCCTCTCCCTCATATCAGGGAGATCATATGATAGTTGTCTTTCTCCGATTGACTTATTTCGCTAAGCATGATACCCTCTAGTTCCATCCATGTTGTCGCAAATGGCAAGATTTCATTTCTTTTGATGGCTGCATAGTATTCCATTGTATATATATACCACATCTTCTTTATCCATTCGTCTGTTGATGGACATCTAGGTTCTTTCCATATTTTGGCTATTGTAGACATTGCTGCTATAAACATTCGGGTGCACGTGCCCCTTCGGATCACTACGTTTGTATCTTTAGGGTAAATACCCAGCAGTGCAATTGCTGGGTCATAGGGTAGTTCTATTTTCAACATTTTGAGGAACCTCCATGCTGTTTTCCAGAGTGGTTGCACCAGCTTGCATTCCCACCAACAATGTAGGAGGGTTCCCCTCTCTCCGCATCCTCGCCAGCATCTGTCATTTCCGGACTTGTTAATTTTAGCCATTCTGACTGGTGTGAGGTGGTATCTCATTGTGGTTTTGATTTGTATTTCCCTGATGCCGAGTGATATGGAGCACTTTTTCATGTGTCTGTTGGCCATCTGGATGTCTTCTTTGCAGAAATGTCTGTTCATGTCTTCTGCCCATGAAATAGGTAATTTTTAACCTATTTCAAAATTCCACCACCTTTCCCAAATTAATTTCTCGAAGTTCCTACACACACACACACACACACACACACCCATGTGCGCACGCACAACCAAGCATATTTTTCTTGTACCACACTCTCTATATCTTGCAACTTGCCTTTTTCACTTAATGGTGGATCTTAGAGCTTATTCTCAGTCATTTCTCATAATTCACCTCATGCTTTTTCATGGCTGAAGTAGTCTACAATTTAAATGTATCGGATATTTATTCTACTTAAATTTGAGGACAAATAATCAAGCTTTCTTTAAGCAGGATTTATGCCTGAAGAAGTCCTAAGAGACTTTACAGAGAATGATAGGCATTTCAGAAATTCCACATTCTATGAACTGGTATTAGGGGCATAGAATGAAATGAGGAAGGTGAGCTACAATTAACAGTTCAAAATTAGCAGAGGACCTTGTAACATTATTTCCAAATGCTCATTGCTGCAACTTTTAGGCCAAAGAGCTTATTGGTGTAATTCGTGTTTTAAAGAAAACGCAGACTTTGTAGATAAGAGCTGATTTATGAAGTGTGTAGTCCTCTTTTCTTAATGTAAATGCTTTGTTCTCTTCACCCCCTCAGTTCTGTTTTATCTTCGGAATGTTTATCATTTCTTGGAAAATAATTCAGCCGATAGGAAAGGCTGCTTGCTTTTTAAAAAAGCAAGAAAACTAAAAATTGTGGACTGAAGTCCTGGGTTTTGACCATGGTTAAGAAGCTACCGGCCAGCTGTAGACCACTGTCTCATTAAAATACAGGCTACAGCATTTAAGATTACAAATGCACATTTTATGGGGGTGATAAACTCTTCTTCTTTATCCACCATCCTCCAGAAAAGAGCAGTAGTGTAATTGGACTACAGACTTTCACCCACACATAGTTGGTTTTCCAAATTTGGTAACATCTTACAGATTGAGTTAGCTGCTTCACTGCGGTCATTTAATCCATGAAGACCTGTTAAACCCCAAATTGAGAGGTGAAGAGTTGCCATTTTCTTTTTATAGGTCCAGAACCTTGTCATTATTTAAAATGCAATCTATTTCAACCAATTTTTTGTCTTTAAATTCTACTTTTGACTTTATTTTCTTGATTTTCAAATTATTCAGTGCTTTCCTGTTTATTATATTTTCTATCCCATTATCTCTTTGCTTACAGGAACTATCCATTTTAAAGTTTTTTCTGAATCCTTAAGGGACCAGATCCGGTAGTGGCATTAGGGGGCTTGTTAAGTGAATAAACGTGATGCCATGGAGTTTTCATAGAGCTTTATGTATTGTTAATTGCCATCCATTAAGTCTGTTCTAAGTAATATGTACTATAATCTGTCAAAAATCTGAGCTTTTAATGAATCCTCCAAGCTGCTTTTCTTTCCTCTCCTTGAAGAGTTGGGTATATTTATTTTCACCTGTGCAAGCCAATTATCTCTGGTCCAGATGTCCCAGGCCTACCAGGGAATCTGACCTAGGATACTTAGCCTATAAAGTAGTTCTTCTTTTTACGCTTTGTTGCAATGTGTGTGGGTTAGTGGGAAAACACGTGTTTCTAATCTATTGTTTCTGTGTGCAGAGCATCTATTATAAGCCAGTCGATTTGCATATGCTATTACAAATCTTTGCAACAGCCTCATAAAGTCAGTGATGTCCCTGTTTTATACAGAAGGAAATAGACAACCAGAGGGCTGTTGTTGTCCTGAGTCACAGAGCTGCTAAGAGCAGAGCTGGGATTCAAACCCAGACCTAGCAGACTTAAAACAAAACTTCTTTTTCTTTTTCTTTTTTTTTAAAGATTTTATTTATTTATGACAGAAAGTGAGCGAAGGAACATAAGCAGGGGAACTGGAGAGGGAGAAGCAGGCTACTTGCTGAGCAGGGAGCCAGATGTGGGGCTCCGATGTGGGGCTCCAGCCCAGCGTCCTGGGATCATGACCTGAGCCAAAGGAGATGCTTAATGACTGAGCCACCCAGGTGCCCCCTAAAAAGCACTTCTTTTTCACAATCTGTAACTAGTAAAATTCTGTTAGTGCATTATAGAGAAAAGATTACAGAGTTAGAAGGCAATCAGTTTGGGGGCTTCTCAGAACCAGCTCAGCCACTATTAGCTATGTGACTTCTCTTAATCTCAGGTTCTTTTTTTGCAAAATAGGATTACTACTGCCCACCTTGTAGGATTATTATAAAGACTAAAGGGAAATGTGAAGCCTTTGGCATGTTGTAGGTTTGCAAACTAGTGACCCACACTACCCTTCCAAGTTAAGATACCTTCTGCTAGAAGTAAATGCCAGCACTGACCAGCATTAAACAGAATTTTAATTTACTGTCCCGAAACAGAAGATACTGGTTAGAGTGTTCCCGTTGTTTTTCATTGTAGGTCTTTTGAAGAGTAGAACAGATTTCAGTCCTAGCAGCAATGCAATTTATAGTGGGCATGTTTTCTTTTTCTTTTCAATACTTTGTTTTAATCTCATTTGGAGTTGCAAAATTTTCTGAAGGGTCTTATGCTGTCTAGGGCCCTAGGCTGGAATGCTGTCTTAGCCCATTGATGTGGTGAGCTGTTGGAAGAGGTAGGAGTGATTTAGAATGCGATGGCATTAGAAAACAAATGAGTTGAACACATATTTCTCTGACCACTAGAATTTCGATGGAGCTAACTGGTAAGTTTCTGAGTGTTATTTGCAAAACAGTCAATTTCACTTGACTGAAATTTTCTTTTCCTCTTTAAAATTGTTTTTTAGGATGCAGAATAGAAAACTGTGATTCTTGCTTTAGCAAAGACTTTTGTACCAAGTGCAAAGTCGGCTTTTATTTGCATAGAGGCCGCTGCTTTGATGAATGTCCAGATGGTTTTGCACCATTAGATGAATCCATGGAATGTGTGGGTGAGTAGTTTTCATGTGACTTTTAGACTTTTAACACCTGATTCTTGAAAAATAATGCATGCTGGATATATTCAACTCAAAAACAAATTGGTTCTCTTGTTGTTAATTAGAACTGACTATTACTTAAGGTCTTTGCTGACTTGCTGAATTTTTTAGGCATCAAGACATGGGTAGTCTCCTGCTAAATCTTACTATAAAATTTGCTAGTTGTGTGTTAGCTAGTTCAACTGTTGAAGTGCTGGTATGGTTTTACCGTCTGTAACTCCTATATTTCTTACCTTAAATTCTTAATAACTGTTAGAGAAAAACATTTTGTGCAAAAGAAAAATAATTTTCAAGTAGCACCATGTAGTCTTCTGTCACTTTGGTTCTGTAGATTAATTATAGAGTTTCTTGTTTAGCCATTTAAAAAAAACTGGGAAGAAATGTTTTGTGCAAAATGGATTTTGTTGATGATTGCATGTTGCAAAAGTACATTAAAACAATGTTACTTTTACTAAATTTAGATATCTAGAATGCATAACTTAATATACACCTATACCCTGTTCATGAATAATTAGGAGTACACATTTTATAAGTTTTATACTTTCAGAGTGTTGGAAAAACACTGACATTTTTATACAGCTGATGAAAAGGTAAAGATCTATAGTGCCTACACTTTGGTGAATGCCTAATCGAATGACGCTAATCTTCAGGTGTAATGGCATTGTCCCCACACCCACTTGCACCCCCACTGGCAAATTTTATTTGACATATTATACATCTGATATGATCTATAACAGAATTATGTATTATAAGTGAGACTTTCCATCCCCTTAAAATGGAGACTTAAAAAATAATAAGAAATTCTTTTCTGCAGAAATACTGTTTAAAGAGTCTGTAATTATATATTTGAAGGTTTGCAGAGAACACATTTAAATAACAGGTTTTTGAAGAAATGTGTACTTATGTTCCTGTTTATGTGTGGGTTCATACATTCGTACAGGTGACACACTATTAAAAAAGTCACTAGAACAGGATATTCAGAATGTTAGATTTGCTTTTGAGAGACAAGACTCACACCAGTTACACATGTTAAGTGGAAACTCTTACGAAATCCTTAAATATAAAAAATTACAAATAGAGTCCTATGTACTTCCCTAAATAAAAATCTTAAAACAGCTTTGAAAAATCTCAGAGTAACCACAATGCCTGCTGAGATCTGAAATGTTAAAATACTGTGTGGACTCCAGGCCTGGGTCCTTAATCTGCTAGTTCAAAGGGGCATTTTAATGGTGAATTTGGTGAGGAGGTTTAACTTTACGTATTTTTATCCTTTTATCTGTCAATCCAGGGGTTTGGACAGTAGCTGACATTTCTAGTTTATGAATTTACAAAAGGAGATGCTGAAAGCTTTTACATATAAACAAACATTTTTAAATATCTGACTGTTCCCGATTATATGAGATAGAGCACCAATTTAGGAAGTAAGAAATACATACTGTGGTTTTTAGATACCTGTTAAAAGAATTCAGATAACCGGAAAATGCAAAATAAAATCCCTGTCCTTTTCAGAAACTACTTCCTAAATAAAACTAACATACTTGCGAATTACTATGGGAGCATCCAGAATTAACATGTAATATTTTGTCTTCTGTCCTGGTTTGAAAAGAGGATCTTCTGTAGATTTTAGCTGTTGACTCTTTTATAGAGTATATATTTCTGTGTCTTTAGAATGAACTAATAGTCCTTCAAAAAATGAACTAAGATTCAAAGTAATAATTTTTAAATTACTTATGTGGTAGTTGCTTCTTATAGCTGAAAGTAACCCTATGGTTCAAAAAGTTGAAGCATCCAAATGGGGAATACAATCTTTGTGGGCCGTACAACTGAATTTATCTGAAGGGGGGTTGTGTAGAAACCAGCTATATAATTTGATGGTAGCGGAGCAAATGGATACCAAATCATTATCTGTGTTTTTTGTTTTTTTGCTTTTTTTTCCTCTATTAGAAGGATGTGAAGTTGGTCATTGGAGTGAATGGGGAACTTGTAGCAGAAATAATCGCACATGTGGATTTAAATGGGGTCTGGAAACCAGAACACGGCAAATTGTTAAAAAGCCAGCAAAGGATACGATACCGTGTCCAACCATTGCCGAATCCAGGAGGTGTAAGATGGCCCTGAGGCATTGTCCAGGAGGTGAGTTTAGACAATTCCTGTCCTGCGTGGGCTGTGTGCTTTCTGAGTTCTCCTCCCCCCAGAGCAGCACAGAGGAAACTTGGTAATAACATCGGAGATGGGGGAAAATTTCCCACTGTACTCAGTTACAAGACAAGTGCTTAAATTGTGAAGAATATAAAGTGAGTATTTCATTTCCACAATGCCTCAAAATGATTTAGAAGAGTGCATGACAAATGAGCTTACTAAAGTGAGATTTCTAGGCGGGGGGGGAAGATAGAGAGAGAGAGAGAGTGTGTGTGTGTTGCTGATGGACCGTAAAAGCGGGAAAATCAGGACTTTGCAGATGTCGCTCTGAGGGAAGTGGCCAACTTTCAGCTGAGAAGAGTTTAGATTAGAAAGGTTTATGAAATCTGTAAAATCATCTGCATCGTTACTAGTTGAAGATGACAACTTAAAATAAACTTGCCCAAACACTGGGAAGAATAAATGTTGTCTTAATGTTACCACAATTAGCCGGTTCCCTTTGTTTGGATAATAATTTGTAGAAAACAGCTACTGGTATGTGTGTGTTTATTCATGTCTTTGTAGTAATTGTGCTGATTTGCTGTAATTATTCTGTAATAACAGGATTCGGCCCATTTACAAATTAGGAGAAACGTAGGTGCTGGAGGGAGCCCAGTCAGTACAGGGAAATGCAGTTTTTAGCATTGTTGCTGTGGTTCTGAGAACATAATCTCTTGTTCCCGTTTTCACACTAGCAAACGCTACATTGCCAGAGATGAAGTGGGGGTTTTTCTAGTGTGCAAAATAGAAAAGCAAAAAAGAAAGTGGTGTTTGGAAAATCGCCCTTGAAAATAATCAAAACATTTGTTTGCCTTCATTCTCGCTGTTGGTGCATTGCTTTCCAGCTCTGCGGCTGTAGCCCAGAAAGAGAATATATATCTGCTCAAATGGGTTTTATATCCCTAGTATACTTCCTCCTAGGGATGTCTATGGCCCATGGAGGACAAAACTTTGAAGACTCGAAGACTCCGGTCGGTTTTTGAGAACTATTAGATCCAGATTCAGAAGCTACTATTAGGAAGGCAGCTTTTCCTCTTGAATTAGTTTTGCTTTTCTTTGTGGGTCTTTGAAACAAAGTTTTTTTGGGTCTGCTTTTCACTAACAAGGATGGTTTTGTTCAGTTAAACTGAGTATTTTTCAGTCAAAATAAAAGAAAATATTTTCTTACAAAACTAATAAGCCACTTCTTGGATAGCTGAGAGCATTTAACCTGCAACCTTGTGCCTAAAAACAAACCTGATGTATTCAGGTATTGGAAAGAAAGACTTTCTTTGTTGTATATTGTTTATGTAACTACCCCCCACCATTCCTCTTCCAGCAATGTGGTCCCCCAATTGTGGTTTATGTTAATAACAAAAATTAACCCGAAAATGCTCCTATAATGAACATGCTTATGTGTAACAAGAACCAGCATGTTCCCCTCCTCTCCAAAATTATTTTGACCTAGCCCCAGTCTTGCTTGAAAATTTTGTAGATAACAGCAACATTGTTAACGTATGATGTTTATTGAATTTGTGTGTGTGTGTGTATTTTTTTTTTTGCTTCTAGCAACAGTATACTGTCTTAACAGAATATAACCTGACACCATCAGCAGTTGAAATTATGTCAAAACAAATGTTTGTGTGTCATCTGCTAATAATCTTTTTGAAAAGTGAACCAGTAATGAACTCTGATTTAGTTCATATTTAGGTTGTACCAAATATTAGGCGAGAGAGAGCAGCTATCACTCTAATCCCTGTATCGACATTCTCAGTTGAATAAATTGAATTTTTATATGACCTTTAAGTTTAGTAAGTTCGGAACATTGAATCAGAACTTGTTCTACGTTTTGTAAAAGGAAAACTAAAATAGAATTGTTGATAGAAATGGAAAGTTACTCTCCAATTTAAAAAAAAAAACCAGCTTCTATTTACAAATGTAGGAAATGAAAAGTAAAAAAAAAAAAATTTGCAATTTGAGCACCAGTTGATAAAATTGGCATAACTTTCAGCAGAGTATCCCACCTTGCCTCAGGTGAGAGAGGGAAAATTTCCTTTCTTCCATAGGTCATGGTGATTAATGGAAGAATGGAGAAGAAAACCACTTTATCCCATTTTACATCTTGACTTGATTTCAGTGATCTGCTTTGACAAACCATGCAAAAATGTAGTCGTAATCAGGTTGGGAATACAGGCATTTTTCAGATCTTTTCAACATATGTATGGATTTCTCTCCTGTTGGAGCCAATCTCAACCTGATTGCACACAAATGCAGCCTTAACCTCCTTCACACTAAAGCGCTGGCACATTAAAGTCAGCTGCTTTTGATTACTGGAAGGCATGAGTTAGAGGTCAGCGAAATGGAATAGTCACTAAGTGTATAAGATATTACACTGAAATCTATTAAAAATGAGACAACAAATGGCTACAAGGTAAAAACCAGTATAATAATTAGCTTATTTTTTAATTATTGCCTGCTTATCTGCTTTTCCAAAAAAGAGTATACCTGGCAATACCTTAAGTCATGGACTGATTTATACTTGGAGTCACTCTGTTCCTTCCCAGCCTTTTCTTCTGGATTAGTTACCTTTTCCTTTTATTTCTGATGACATACTTGTAGAGTTTTTTGGGCTTTTCTGACACTCATTCTGGTGTGGAGATCACGAGGTCGGGGTCTCTGCACCCCGTCAACTCATTAATTCTATGACCCTTGGGAAGTCACTTAACCTCTCTTGGCCTCTATTTCCTCATTCGTAAATTGAGGGTATGGGGGGGTGGTGAATTTCTAAGATCCAGTCAACTCTAAAATCCAATGGTTCTACGACAAATTGCTGAAAGATACTGGCAAGTGCTGTGGTTGTCACAGAAGCCCAAGAGTGTTGTTCATGACAGAAGAACTGAATGCTTTTCCAGTAGCTATACCGTGCATTTGCCAAGCCTTTGCTTCTGGTAGCTTTTCACCCCCATCCTGCCTCTACTTAGGTAGTCAGCCCTGTAGACTAATCAAGACTCCTTAAATCTGCCTGTGACCTGTGGTTTAAAGAAATTCATTCTGGAGGGACTAAATTTTCTGTTCCTATATAACCTAGAGCTTCAAATGGGAGGGATTTCTAGTTTGGACCATGTCGTACATTAGATAATCTATTAATAGAAAAATATAAACATGCCATTATATTTAAATGACAAATGGAAGAACAAAAAGCATTGGAGATGAGACATGGAGTTTGTTCCCATGCAGGGGGAATTGTCATTTGGGTAACTGTAATCTTCAGGATTGGCCAATGTAACCTCAGCCTAGAATATTTTGTCCCAGGTGTATGGCATTCTTTGTCATATTTTAAGATCCCATGACAACTAATTTTAATTTATCAGATACTATGGAGCACTGCTATGTAGCAATCACTGGTCTAGGCACAAGAGTACTCAGAGTCTTTACAGAACATTTTCTGCTGGGAATCATGGCAATAAAGAAGTGGGTGGGTGAATTCACAGTTTCGTGTAGAGATGGAGACTGGTGACAGACATAAAGCAGGATAATCAAGTAAACGATTGAGATAAAAGTATATTATTTTATATAGGGTATTCAGGGAAATCGAGGAAGTCACATTTGATCAGAGATCTGAATGAAGGAGACCTTCTGCAGAGCTAAGAAAGGATTTGTTTTTTAAGCTATTGACCCAATGGTTGGTTGTGATTCTCCCAAGTTACATTAGGGAGGAGGAAGGATCTGCAGTCTGGGGAGGTTCTGACTGGTCCAAGGCGATACATAGCAAGTTTCTAGTGGTAGGGCCAAGAGCAAAACCTGCTGCCTAGGAAACCCAAGTGTTCCTTGTTCCTATAAAATAAAAGAGAAAGCTAGAGTTGTCCATTAAAGAAGCCAACTTTAAACTGTTTCTCCCCGAAACTAGACATATCATCTTAGTTTTTCTCTACAAATACTTTTAAAAAACATGGCGCCTGTCATTACTACCCCCCCTCTTAATACCTTCCAGCTTGAAATAGGAAAACATACACTGAAGGTCATTTCATAAACACCAAAGTATTGAACCCCTGGCTTGGCTTTGATTCAGCTGTTCCTACAAAGACCTTCTTTAACTTTAGTGTTATTGGTCATTTTGTTGTTGGGGGGGGGTGGGAAGTGTGACTTCCATATTATTCTTTCCATCATTATTGTTTTGGAATCTCCCTCTGGGCTAGCACCTGAGATTACCTTGTGTTGAGTCATACTCAGCACTCACCTCTGCCCCCTCACTTTCCGGCCTGTGCAGCCCCCCTCTGGGGATCTGAGTCCCACCCTCACATTTCGAGCTCTGTGCCCAGCATGGCTTTTCTTTCTGACCCAGTCAAACAGTCAGGCTGATAGTGTAATTTAGGTGATGCTTTGACATACACTCAGATAGCTTTCTGTCTCTCTTGCTTGTGGTTGCGCCCACTCACCGTGCCACAGTTATTAGTAATACTATGATGCAATTCTTTAAGCCCTCATCAGATTTTCTCAGAACTGTGCTGAAATTTAAACATGGAATGTGCTACTATAAACTATTTCAATTTGAAAATAACTCCTTTCTCTTATGAGGCATTACTTGACCCTCATCTACCTTTCTTTTTTAAAGCGGCTTTTAATGTGATAGGAAACAAAAGAAGATATTATTTAGCAACTTATAAACTTAATCTCTGCAAACATCTTTTTAAGAGGCAATATTAAAAGACCCTTCTAATCTTTGTTTTCTGTATATAAACTGACAGCAATATGGGGACTAGGTATTAGATAATAGAACTAAAGATGGTTGTGGATCGTGATGGATTGAACTGAGAGCAGGAAATAAAGCACATTTGCAGTAGGATAGGGTCAAGAAAATATGTTTTAGACATGTGTTCTTTATTTCTCTACATTTTATTTACATTTGAGTTGCAATTTATGTGGTCTGTTTTATACATGCCAACCTTAAGGGTAGTTTGGAAGGGAATGGATAAGAG